ACTTCAGGAAGGGGCACCTCTTTCATTGGTGGTCAGTGAGAGGAGCACAGTATGTGGCGGCCCTCCAACGGTCTGAGGGACAGTGAACTGGCCCCCTGTGTAAAAAGTCTGGGGACGCCTGCACTACACTTTCTAATAACAAGTCATGTGATACATGGTAAGAACTGGCATGGAAATCACTAACTTTGGTTTAAAACCAAACCTCCTAATATCAAATCTGGTATTTGTTTATAGGCTCATACTTTAAAGGCAACCTTTAAAGGACTGATTTTAGACAAAGCTACTACTCTGTTAATAAATTACCATGTTTAGTGCTTACTTTGTACCTGCTGCTGTGCTAAGCATGTGATTTGTAGTTCCTTCATTTAATTCTTAACTCCATTAGGTAGAAACCATTATTAAGGTTATTATCCCTATTTTACAGATGAGAAAAGTGGGGCTTAGCTTATCTAAGATCAAGCAGATGGTAAATGACAAAGTTACAACTCAATCTTAACCATTCTGCTACCTTTCATTCCAAGTCTCTCACATTTTCATCAGTTTTAGGGTAACAATTCGGCCTAACAAAGTAATACGTTGAAAACACGTGATACTCCTTTTTTAAGTCATTCAAAAAGAAGGTCATATACGGGTAATATGGTTCTGATTTATTTTAACCACGTTTTAATAGGTATGTCTGGAAGGAAAGCCATGTAAAACATTATCATTTAAATGCAGATTGAACTTAGATTATTCATCTTGTTATTAAATTGTTGGTAAATGTTTCTTCATAAGAGGCTGTGCAAGCAGGATGTACCCTTGCTCTGGCTATCTATCATGTCAACTTTATTTAATAGGCAGGCAGGATGGAGGAAGCACTTGTTGATTCTGTTTCACTAGATGGAATACTGAGCAATGAGCTAGGAAAACAAAATAGATCTCATTTTTAAATTGTCTCTTTTAGTTTTTCTAAAAGATAGATTGTAGCTTTGAGAAAAGGAGAGAGCTGTCACATTCTATATAAAACTCCTTTTTATATAGCTCCTTGGAGAGGCTGTGTAGCAGATGGCTCTTAGCTCTGTTGTGAATGCTGGGTCTGCTTATGAGCTTGAGCAAGTTTGTTTTTCTGAACCTCAACTTTCTTACATTTAGAGTTAGTTAATAATACCTGCTTCACCAGGTACACAGTAAATGTTAGCCTTCCTCTATCTCTACCACCCCTTTCCATTCAACAGATAATTACTGAGACTGTTAGTGTCAGGTTTTGTCCTGTACACCAGACTCTTCTAAGAGCTCAAATGCTGAGGCAGGAAGGCATCAAACCAGATATTTGTGATACAGTGTAATGGAAGCATGATAGAACCATCAGTATTCCCTAAATGCTAAAGAAGCATGAAAGACTAACTACTTGTTTAGGGCCACAAGTAGGGTGGCAGTGTTTGTTTTAAACATCTTTTGTGTTTAGTAGTCACTTAACATTGAACATTAAACCTTTGTATTTTGTGGTCAGAAATTAGCTTGAGCACTAGGCTGATTTGCAATGCATGACAATTTGATTTTGTCTTTGAATTAAGAGTATGTTGTAGCAGATGTACAGTGATCATTATCAGAAGTTATTGGTTTTATGAGACTAAAGCTAAGGACATGCAATATTTTGTCAGCTCAATCTTGGCTCACAACATTGTGGAATTATTACATTTATGAAACACCTAATAATGTGGTAGGCTCTCAGGAGCCTAGAAAGGTCCTTGCCAGAGTTCAGGACAAGTGGGCACAGAATGATGTGATGTGCAGCATCCTTGTTTGGGTGATACCTTGATAATTCCATTGGTCCCAGTATTGTTCTTGTTGCATTTTACTAAAGTTAACTTGTGAAAAAGGGAGTAATTGTGAAATCACAATTTGATAAGATATTAAGGTCATTTTGGAATGCTGTGGCATTTATCCAGTGATCCAGCACTGATTCAGAATGACTCTCGGTCATTATAATGCAGCCACTCATGCTGAATTTGACAGCAGTTCTCCATTCAGATTTGTGAAATGTCCCATTTGGTGAGTAAGTTGGCAAATACAAATTTTTCTCCTTTCTCCCTGAGGGATGAAGACTTGGCCTCTGCTTCTGAATTTCTGCCTTTGCCATGGAAATGCCTGAGGCTCTGTCCCTGTCATTTGCTTTGCCACCCTTCCACACCCACTGTGTGTGTGCACCAGTGGTGTTCATATATCTTTCTGAGAGCTAGGCCTTCTTTGTACCCTTGGTTCCTAAATGGGTGGTGAAACCTGATCTGCTAGCCTTCATTTATTCAACAGTGATTTGCTAAATATTTTTGGTGCAGAGACAGACAAGACTGACCCAAGAGGAGTGGGCTCAGGCTAAGGATTTGATGCCACTTCACACTGTTATCCATTAATTATTTATTCACAATGTTTTTAAGCAGAGTAGCAAAGCACTATATGGAAAAAGAGTCGCAAAAGAGCCCTCTGCGTCCTCCTCTAGTTTCTGACCCGAAGGAAATAGACTTGTGATATTTTCTTCCAACCACATGTAATGCCGTCCTTGAGAAAGGTTCAGTAGGTACTATTTTTGTTTAATCTACTTAAGTTTCCAGAGATTCCAGATTTTAAATATCCCATTGATGAATCCATACAGGGTAGCTGCTGTAATATCTAGGACCTTAATGTAGCCCATGAAAGAGACATTGGGATAGATCCCTGGGATACCAATAAATGAGATACTGCCCCAGCCCTCAAAGAATTGGAGGCAGTAGCTTCACATATATTAATAAACAATGTAAAAGAAATATTAGTAAATGGCTTCCTGGAAGACAGATGAAGGAGCAGCAAATTCAGCCTGTGCTGGTCTGGATGGCTCATAGAAGTGATTCCACTTCATCCAGAATGGGACAGATGATGCAGTGGCATGTTCTTCTTTTAAATCTATCTGTTATTTATGATTTCGAACTTTTCAAACTAATGAAATGGGAGGCTTTAATTTTACATAGGCTAAAGCCTTAAACTTAAACAGTTGCCCAAGTCAGGGTGAATGAGCATGATACTGCAGTGATTGCTGCCATACCTGCCGAACGACATCCCAGTGAGACTATACCTTTAACCCAATTCAGGCCCTTTGACCAGAGATTCTTGACATTTTGCTAGATCTTTCCTAAGATTTAACTATCCCTACAAGCTAAATATGCCCAAATGGAAAATCATGCTCTAATTCCACAATTGTATAGTAGTTCTTTGCTGTACTACCAAAAAATAAAAATAAAAATAAAAGTTTGTTTTATCAAATCCGTCATCTCTCCTGACCAGGAGACAAGAACGTCAAGAGTAAGATCCTCTGGGGCCTTTTGTTTTTCTATCAGAAAGCTGATTGCTGCTGTATGGTTCCTTAATCCCCAGTCACTTGGGAGCCATTCCTTAATATGTCCTTCATTGGGAGGCTTCCTTTCAGGAGGAAGTTCTTATTTGAGAGAATTCTCAGTGTTATACTTACCTCCAAATCTTCCAGAATACTCTTTTATTTTTAGGTTATCTTGGAATTGACTTTTTAAGTTAAAATACTCAGGTCTTGTGTCCTTTCTCTGGAGAGAGAATGTTTTTGAGGGGGTAGATCAGCTAGTTGTGTAACACTCATTAGCATAGCAAGCTGGAGGACACACTGACGCAGGCCGCCTGCCTCAGCAGCTGGGCTGGTCGGAATTGCTGTAACAGTCTTTGTCCTCTTTTTATCCTGCCTAATATGGACTATTTATGCTATTCTAAGAAGTGCTGCCATTTAGTATTTCACATTTCATTCTTCCAACTTGGTACTTTTGTGTTCTGCCGAGAAGGAAGAAACTTAACTTTAGCTATAGTTTCTGAAATGAGTTTGAATGATTTGGTTTTATCCTGAATAAAGAAACTGAACTACATTTTTTTATTTATTTTATTTGACAGCAGTGGCTTCACCCTGAGATAACAAATTGTCATTGTGAGAGAGCCGTCATTGAATTCTACATTTATATCTTCTCAGCAAAATATTCATTTGGTTTAGGTAAATGTTAAATAGGAGAGAGGAATGATATGCATTAGTAAGTATGCTGAGAAATGTTCAATCCAACTCAAAGAAATGCCAAATAAAGCAACACCAAGATTCACGTATGGAATTAGTAAATATTTTTTATGATGATTTCTAAATCCAGTGAGGTGTTACTTATATATTGTTGACAGGAAAGAAAGTTGATATAACCTTTCTGAGAAATAATTTGATGCTGTATATCAGAGGCCTTAAAGTGTTTATGCTCTTTTGACCTAATACCTTCATTTTGAAAGTACATGCAAAAAAAAAAATCATATGAAGAGTACAGAGATGTTTACATTATTAGTAATAAAAAAGGGAAAATTGAAAATATAGTAGGGGAATGATTTTGTAAACTAGGACATACCCATGTGTGAACTATATGCTTCCGTCAAAAATGATACTTAAAGAAACTTCATAACAATATCAAAAAAGCCTGTGATGTATAAGAGGCAAAAACAGATCTCAATATTGTGCCATTGAATTTTACAATGGCATAATTGTATAAAACTGGTAGGTCAGCAAAAATTAAAACTGGACAAAGAAAAGTATCCCAAATGTTAAGACTTTCACCATGTTTCCCGTTTAAGAAGAATGCTTTCAATTTGTTTTTCTCGCTTATATTTCTCTTATATCAGTGTTACTCATATATAATGCTATCTTATGCTCCATCAAAAATTCAGTGTTTATATTTTGTGCCTTGTAAGCCATGGTTGTGATGAAGTAAAATGTGTAGTTTGTGAAAGTGATTTGTTTCTCTCCCAGGGTAATAGTTAACCAGTTCTGTGAGAAGTCAGAAGTTGGTATCTTTAATGCTTTCTTTTTAAATAAGTTATCTTTTGTGTATTTCATAAAAGTATTATATGTGTTGGAAATTTTAGAACCGTATCAGTGAATAAATTATCTTGCAGTCTTGTGATACATGAAATATAACAATATGCTTCTGATATCTCCTTAGGAATTTTTCAAATTGAGACTAATTGCAGAGGTTTCAGTTGACCAGCATTCATAGGGTAAGTAACATCCTGAATTGTAAACACATGGTAAAAATAATTACAATTAAGTTGGTAGCTTGGGGCAAATAAATACTGAATACTTAGTATGTAAAAGAAATTACTGTTCTTACAGATGTTTTCAGTAAAATCCTTCTGAGGTTTTTAAACCACTTGATAAACAGAAAATTAGATCTGTATACCTTTTAGTAAAATGCCACCTTCCTACCTTTTGTGGATTTTGTATATAGGAAGGTATATTTGTATATGGTATTTGTCATTTTTTAACAGTAAAATCTAAGGAATATAATAAATGTCCATGGTAGACTTAGAGTCCATGTCTGTATTTTCCTGATTTTTGTTTAAGGTAGGATTTTTAATGCATAGATTTGGTTTGCCTTATTTCTATTAAGTAAAAGATGGCCCTACTTTCTTTGAGTAGGTACGTCAGAAATAAACAAGCCCTATATTCTGTTGCTTCCTGCAAACATCATTCTTCTTTTGTAATTGTAGAAGATTAATCTAAGTTAGCTTATAGCATTGCTTTTAGCTTTGACACATGAATGAAGAATTTGTACACTGTATTAAATAGTACAACTCTCTAATGTTCTGAATACAGCTTGAAAGTGTCACCCAGCTCTGAACATACAGTCTAGGTGAATCAGTGGTGAGGACAGGGGGTCTGTCACCTACTACATTCTAAACACCCTTTTTTACAGATGAAGGTGAAGATCCTTTGACGTCTTAGGTATATTCATGTTTCCATTCTGACTGATTAACTATAAACTTTTTAAAATTTTATAATTTCGACTTTTATTTTAGATTCGGGGATACATGATCACGTTTGTTACAAGGGTATATTATTGCATGGCACTGAGGTTGGGAGTAAGAATGATCCCATCACCCAGGCAGCGAGCATAGTATACAACAGGAAAACTTTCAGCCCTTGCCTCCCCACCTTCCTTTCTCCTTTTGGAGTCCCCAGTGTCTGTTGTTCCCATCTTTATATCTTTGCGTATCCAATGCTTAGCTCTCACTTATAAGTGAAAAAATGTATTTAGTTTCCTGTTTCTGCTTTAGTTCACATAGGATAATGGCCTCCAGCATCATCCATGTTGCTGCGAAGGACATGATTTTATTCTTTTTTATAGCTGAAGTATTCCATGGTGTATATGTAACACATTTTCTATTCTTTTTTTTTTTTTTTAACTTTTATATGAAGTTCAAGGGTACATGTGCAAGTTTGTTACATAAGTAAACTTGTGTCATGGGTGTTTGTGGTACATATTATTTTATCACCCAGGTATTAAGCTGAGTACCCATTAGTTATTTTCCCTGGTCCTCTTTCTTCTCCTACCCTCCACCCTTTGATAGGCCCCAGTATGTGTTTTTCCCCTCTATGTGTCTATGTGTTCTCATCATTTAGCTCCTACTTATAAATAAGAACACGTCGCTTACAGAACATTTGGTTTTCTGTTCCTGCCTTAGTTTGCTGAGGATAATGGCCTTCAGCTCCATCCCTGTCCCTTCAAAGGATATCATATCATTCTTTTTTTATAGCTGCATAGTATTCCATGGTGTATATGTACCACATTTTCTTTATCCGGTCTATCATTGATGGACATTTAGGTTGATTCCATGTCTTTGCTATCGTGAAGAGTGCTGCAGTGAATATACACACACATGTGGCTTTATAATAGAATGATTTATATTCCTTTGGGTATGTGCCCAGTAATGGGATGGCTGGGTTGAATGGTATTTCTGTCTTCAGGTCTTTGAGAAGTTGCCACATCGTCTTCCACAATGGTTGAACTAATTTACACTCATCAACATTGTATAAGCATGCATTTTTCTCCACAACCTCACCAGCATCTGTTTTTTGACTTTTTAATAATAGCCTTTCTGGCTGATGTGAGATGCTGTCTCCTTGTGGTTTTGATTTGCATTTCTCTAATGATCAGTGATGCTGATCATTTTTTCATATGCTTCTTGGCCGTGTGTGTGTCTTCTTTTGAGTAATGTCTGTTCATGTCCTTTGCCCACTTTTTGATGGGGTTGTTTTTAAATTTGTTTAAGTTCCTTATTAGAACTTTGTTGGATGCATAATTTGCAAAATTTTTTCCCATTCTATAGCTGTTTACTCTGTTGATGCTTCTTTTGATGTGCAGAAGCTCTTTAATTTAATTAGATCCACTTGTCAATTTTTGCTTTTGTTCCAATTGCTTTTGGCATCTTTATTATAAAATCTTTGCCCCTGCTTATTGTCCTGGATGGTATTGCCTAGGTTGTCTTCCAGAGCTTTTATAATTTGAGTTTTTATGTTTAAGTCTTTAATCCACCTTGAATTAAGTTTTTGTATATGGTGTAAGGAAGGGGTCCTTTTATGTATATGGTGTAAGGAAGAAGTTTTAATCATCTATATATGGCTAGCCAGTTATCCCAGCACCACTGATCACATAGGGAATCCTTTCCCCATTGCTTATTTTTGTCTTGTTGAAGATCAGATGGTTGTAGGTATGCGGTCTTATTTCTGGGTTCTCTATTCTGTGCCATTGGTCTTTGTGTCCATTTTGTACCAGTACCATGCTATTTTTGGTTACTGTAGCCCAGTAGTATAGTTTGAAGTCTTTCATTTCAACCTTAGAGAATCCGTTGATTATGTGTCTTGGGATGATCTTCTAGTGAAGTATCTTACTGGGGATCCCTGCACTTCCTGAATTTGAATGTTGACCTCTCTAGCTACCTTAGGGAAGTTTTCATGGATGATACCCTGAAATGTTTTCCAGGTTGGTACCATTTCCCCCCGTCTCTTTCAGGTAAACCAATCAGCCATAAATTGAGTCTTTTATATAATCCCATATTTCTTGGAGGCTTTGTTCATTCAGAAAGGCCATCTTCCAATTTTGAGATTCTTTCCTCCGCTTGGTGTCTGCTGTCTTCCTATCATTTGAAAGGAGCGAGTGTGATTCACAAGAGACTGCATAAGGACTAGTTTTGTTCTGTATATTATGGCTTGCTTACTGTGGGGTTGGGAGTGATCAGGAAAATATTCTTTTTTTTTTTTTTTTTTTTTTTTTTTGAGATGAAGTTTCACTCTTGTTACCCAGGCTGGAGTGCAATGGCGTGATCTTGGCTCATCACAACCTCCGCCTCCTGGGTTCAGGCAATTCTCCTGCCTCAGCCTCCTGAGTAGCTGGGATTACAGGCAAGAGCCACCATGCCCAGCTAATTCTTTGTATTTTTAGTAGAGACGGGGTTTCACCATGTTGACCAGGATGGTCTGGATCTCTTGACCCCGTGATCCACCTGCCTCAGCCTCCTAAAGTGCTGGGGTTACAGGCTTGAGCCACTGCGCCCGGTAGGAAAATATTCTTTTTTTTTTTTGAGACGGAGTTTCGCTCGTTACCCAGGCTGGAGTGCAATGGCGCAATCTCGGCTCACCGCAACCTCCGCCTCCTGGGTTCAGGCAATTCTCCTGCCTCAGCCTCCTGAGTAGCTGGGATTACAGGCACTCACCACCATGCCCAGCTAATTTTTTGTAGAGACGGGGTTTCACCTTGTTGACCAGGATGGTCTCGATCTCTTGACCTCATGATCCACCTGCCTCGGCCTCCCAAAGTGCTAGGATTACAGGCTTGAGCCACTGCGCCCGACCGGAAAATATTCTTATAAACAACAAAAGGTGATGGAGAAGGATTTGAGCTTGCCTTCTGTTTATACCTTCTCTGTAAGAATTATCCAGCCACTGGTGGCTTATGCTTCTATTAATATTACAAGAATATGGCTGTAACTTCTTTTATTTTAAATAGATTTTAGAAAATATGGTAGCTTACTAAAAACATCAAAAAATTGAGAGATCTTTTCCTAAAAAGAAAAATATCTACATTAAATATATGACATATTCTTTAACTGCCAGAAATAAGTAAAAGTGAAGCATTATTCCTTAAAAGTTTAGAACAACTCAGATTTCATTAGGATTTCTATAATTTTTCCCATGGTTTTAACTCAGTCGCTTAATTTAATCTATTACTTGCTATTTGTAATTATTTATTTCATTTATTCAGTAACTTTCTTCAAGGGCTTCAGATGACTAAGGTAATTCTCTTAATGTTTAGAGTATTTGTAATTGTTTCCCAGACCCACTATCTCACTACAGCTTTGGTCAGAAGCTCTGGAATGGCAGTTACGCATCTCTCTTCTCCTTTGTTTTCTCTGTATTATTTTAGGACAATGTCAGCTTCTTTCCTTGAATTCTGATTTCTGTGTTCTAGAAAATACTTTGCTTCTCCTTTACCTCACTGACCCTGCTTCCCTATCAATTTTCATTCTTCCTTATCTATTTTATAGAGGGGAGAGTAATTCTGTCTTTCACTCACTAAATTCTTTCTAAGAATTCATTTCTGTGGCACTGACCACCGCTTAAATCCTCATGACTTCCTACAGTGGGCTAAAGATGGCTGCTAAGGCTTAGCAACTCTGCCCATCAAGAGGTGGAGTTGATTTCCCCACCCTTTGAATCTGGTTGCCTGTGGTAGGTTTTTTAATCAATAGAATGTGCCAGAAATGGTAGGGAGTAATTTTCAAGGCTGGGCCGTAAGAGACTTGTAGCTTCTGCTTTTGTGTGCTTGAAACATTCCTTCTAAGATCTTAGTCTCTTCGCTGTCAGAAAGCCAGATTAGCCATATAGAGGTCTGGCAAGGCTCCTGGTCAACAGCCCAAGCTGGGCTCGCAGCCAGCAACCAGTAGAAGAAGCACGAGTGTTGTGATTGAGGTACTTTGGACCTTCTGAATATTCCAGCATTCCAGCCGATACCATGTGAACTGCCATATCATCCCATAGAATCATGAGAAATTATGAATTGTTACTTTAGCCACTAAGTTTTGATGTGACTCGTTACACAGAATAAAGAGCCAAAACAAAAATTTGTACCTAGAAGTGAGATGCTACCTTAACAAAAAATCTGGCATTTTGGCTTTGAGACCAGGTGTCAGTGAAGGCATGAAGGGCAGTTAGAATACTA